CTTTGTCGGATGAGCGTTGAGATTTGTCTGAATCGGTATGTAATATGGTAGGCATTGATATAGGGGGTTGACAGGTATGTGCAAGGGACACGTTAAGCCAGTGGTGGTTATTCTCAACCTTGTTTGGCTACTGCTGTTACCCCCGTTGTTGGATTTTGTTTCAACCGAGTAACCCCCCCCCCCCCCCTCTTGCCTGACCCCAACACGGTTCTCAATAAATGTACGAATAATGAACCTCAATGTTAACAAATTGTCCATCTTGTGAGGTTTCCTAACTAGCGAGTAACTGCAAGTGAATTAAAAAAAATCAACAGACGCTCTGCATGGGTGACGTAATATGTTCGAGCTCGCTGGTTACTCTCGTTAACCACATTGTTTATGATCGGTGAGTTTAGAAATACTTTTTATATCGTTTACGGTTAGCATAAGGATTTACATTTTATGGTAGTTATTTTATGTTGGCAGATTCGTACATGATTATTCACCAATGACTCCCACGTATGATATAATTTCACGCATTTATAAATCACCTCACGTTAACCCCCTGGGACGATGCCACGTGTACCCCCAGTGGTCTGCGTACCCCCGGTTGAGAACCCCTGCAATAGGCCACGCTTAAACATCAGCAGCAAGTCATGGCTCAGATGGGCCCTGTTCAGTGCTGGGCAGGCTGAATGAAAGTGGTGGGGGGGGGGGGGGGTTGAGCAGACGGGCCGATGCGGTGTCTCTCAGTCACTTTTGCAGAGACAATGAATTCGACTCAGAAGCACTTTTTGAACTCAAAGTGTTTGCCGTCCCGTGGCCCACTCGGTGCTCCCACTCGGTGCAGGTGTCCGTCCGGTCGTCTCAGTCGGGCCGCGCGATACCGCGACCCGAGTTCGATTCCCGCTCACGGCCAATACCAGTGAGGATTATTTGAACCGGTCATGGGCCTCCTGTAGGTCGACTCAGCCTCAAATGAGTACCTGGTACGGCGTGTAAACATCGCCACTCGGAGACAAAGGCTGTCGGGCGTGGTGCTGGCCACCCACCCCCTCGTGTGCCGTACCAGCTTTGAAGGTCCTCGCTAGCAGCACTTGCTGCTAGTCTGTTAAGGCTATAGGGGGATCTTTGTCTTTGGATAAGCATAAATCAGCGCCACCAGTGACACCAATAGGTGCATGGGTGCACAATGGCCCAACAGGCGTTGAGGCAATGGTGCTGGCATGGTGTTGGCATGCCATGTCGACATCAAATAAGACGATGTAATGTCCCACGTGCAGGTGCCGTGAGCACTCTGAGGCCCTGACAGAATCCAACAGGATCACGTGAAGGTCAGGTTGGGATTATGAGCTCAGCGATCTAATGAACTAGCTGGCACACCAAATTGGTCAATCGGTGAGCATACAGCTCGAGTCGAGTGGCAGAGTATTTGACATCAGTGTTCTGCGTGTCACTGGATATTCTGGGGACGACCAGTTATTGACTTTATCCAGGTTTCAGTTGGTTATGCAAACCGATGCCAAGGAATCTCCATCTCAAAGCAGCAGAAAAGTGGACTGACAAGGAAGTTCAAGGGCGGCTAGAGCCACACTTAAGGATCGGTAGAACAATGTACATCGAATGGACAAGAGAAACCGTATGGAAGAAGCCATGCTACTGCTAATGTTCAACAAAGTGAGCCAGTACCTCGGTGCCCAGAAGATTCTGGAGGAAACTCTCAACAGGACCAATGAACTCGGGAGACCCACAGGTCAGGAGACCGCCAACATGTTGCACATTAGGAGGCTGATCAGCAGACTTGAGTAACTTTCTGACTCGCCCCTACTGGACATCTGTGAAATAGAGCTTCATAGATCATCAGATTTCTCCAGGATAAATGAAGATTCTGATCAAGATTCTGAGCAGGCTGGATAGATTACTGGCATAGCAGGTGCAAGCAAGTATCTGGAACAGGACAGCAAGTTGTGTGGTGTATGCGGGGAAGAAGGGCACACCACACTTATGCACTGCACAAGGACGAACCTATGTAATGTTGAACTTCCTTCGCACCGTATAAAACCGTGCTAATCAGAGGTGCAAGGGAAGGACAACACACTAACTACAAAAAGCAATTATAATTAAATGAGTTCTCAATCTAAATTTAAAAGTGCATAGCTCCAGTAGCTTCCAAATATCTGAAGGAAGACTGTTCCAGACAGCCGCAGAAACACATTCGAAAGGGCGCGATGCGGTGACCGTCTTTGTTCGATGGGTAGCCCAAAGCCGCCGCCGCTGCTGCGAGGATGACTGGAGTTTTGCGTGACGGTTGACGCTTCTTGACGAGATCAGCGAGATGCTTTGCAGGAAGTCACTGGAAGTGGGGTTGCCCCACGGGCAATGGGCAAGCCGTAGTTGGGCCACACAATTTGGGGAGACCCTCGTGCCGGCACTTACGCACACACAGAGAGGGGGGGGGGGCGTGTGGGCGTTCATGACAATCCCCTTGAGCAGGAGATCGAGCTACAACAACTGCATGTTGAGGTCCAAGGGACATTCGCGAAAGGCCCCACACAACTTAAGTGATCCAGGGGTCTCAAGAGAGTTGAAATTTTTCAGCGAGCTCTTTTTACACTGTGGTCAACGTTGGGGGCCCAGGTAGAGCTAAAGGGCGTTGCAAAAACTCGGAATCAATGGCACGCATTATCGGTTAAAAATTCAAAGCGGACAGCTGGCGTGGGCAGACCTAAACCTGGCGCAACGGTGAATCGAGTGAGCTTTGGTGGGAAGTGCGTCCATGGCCTGGCGCTATGCCACCGATGCATTGGGATGCGATTGTACCGACTCGAGTTGTCCTGGGCCAAATAAACGACATCACGGCGAGGTCAAATGCCATGAAGGAAATGCTAAAAGCCTCTCAGAGGTGGGAGCAATGCTGCAATAAGATCTCCCGAGGGACACTTCCAATGACATTTCGAGGCAGAGCGCCAGGTGGACCCCCTGCGTAATCTGACCGGGTGGAGGGGGTGGCTTGGCTCAGGAGTAGGAATTTGGTGCAGGCTTCGATGCTTTTACAGAGGTGAAAAACATTCGGTCTGGGGAAGCCTTATGCGAAGTACACCCAATTCATAATAATAGGGTTATAATAGGGTTTTTCCCCTTTTTTCTGGCAACAAAACTGAAACCTTTTTACAAGGATTCATGTCTGCATTAACCACAATACCTGCAGTCAAAATGCAAACAAAAAACATACTATGATAATATATGCATTGTCCTTGAAACTGATTGGTCCACACCAAGGGACGGCTTTCTTTTGAGCCTCGACCCAATTGGTGCTCGACCAGATGACGCCAGAAGGCGTACAGCTCAAAGACAATGCACTATCAAAGTAATGAGGGCTCGGGGTGAGCATCTACATCATTAGACCTCCTTTGCCAGTACCAAAATGTAATAATAGGGTTTTTCCCCTTTTTTCTGGCAACAAAACTGAAACCTTTTTACAAGGAATCATGTCTGCATTAACCACAATACCTGCAGTCAAAATGCAAACAAAAAACATACTATGATAATAGTATTGATTGAATTTTGACTGCAGGTATTGTGTGCAGACATGATTCCTTGTAAAAAGGTTTCAGTTTTGTTGCCAGAAAAAAGGGGAAAAACCCTATTATTATATTTTGTTACTGGCAAAAGAGGTCTAATGATACACCCAATTCAGCAATAAACGCAGTGGTATCGTAGAGAGAATGACGGCGAGGTCCCTACCAAGGGTGATTACACCTCTGTGGGGCGACTGTTGGGTCCCCTTGATGGTGGTGACTCTCAAAAAGTAAGAATGCTTCGACGACGTAGTGTGTTGGCAGATGTGTGACAATCCCGAGCTGTGGAGGAATGAGACCTGTTTCAGGGCATGTAAGGTAAGTGTAAGGTCAAAGCACGAACTGCTACATCTGCCGACAGAATATGAAGACACCTTCTGGAAGAATGTGATGGATTTCAGAGACAGAGGGGTTCACGCATCGTATCAGACGGTCGGACGATCATCTTTTCTGTCTTCCATATAGAAGGGTCCCACCACCTGCTCACTACTGAGAGTTGAGGAACATTGTCTCTTGAGACAGAAGAGACGGGGATCATACGGAAATCATCGGGCAAGTTCGCTTCTCCTCTGGTGGTCTAGAAAAAATGTGGACTTATCTGCACAGACTTCCACTGGGTGTGTAAGGCACAAGTATGCATGTGACTGGGTGTAAGAGATGGACGTGTGTGACTGGATGTGACGGACGTGTGTGACTGGGTGTGAGAGACGGACGTGTGTGTGTCTGGGTGTGACTGGGTGTGAGAGACAGACCTGTGTGTGGCTGGGTGTGACTGGGTGTGAGAGACACGAGTGTACGTGTTTACAGAGCTGTGTGAGACACAAAAGCGGTGCGTGTGCCTTGACAGTTCTGCAACACAAGATTATTCCCAAAAGTGGATGCAAGAATTGCACCTTCAGGCAAATGGGGCCCAGTCATTCTCGATCTGCTTGAGTAATCTTGGCGATCTCTACAGTGACCATGAATTCCTCGGTCAATATGAATGGGTGCTACGGTTGCGAGATGTTAACTACCTTGCCTGGTATACAGGGGGTCGTGGGTTCCATCCCGACTGACGAATACTGTATATTTGGATTGTGCGCATCTCACTCCCTCTCCGTGGTCACGTGGATTTTACTCCGGGCCTTCTGGTTTTTCCTTCCAGATTTAGAATCAACATGCATTTAGAGTATTTGGCTGCTATACATTTCTACACGATAAGCCTCTTCGTTGGGCTATCATTGGTGGTCAGGTCGGTTCTACCTCAGTGGGCCTTACCTGGGAAAATAAAAAAATTAATAATTTAGTTTAGAATGCTTGTGGAAACATTGTTGAAGCGAAGATTAACGTCGGTAGTTCCCACGAAGATATCGGTCATTTGTAGTCTGACGGCAGGAAACGCCCCCACGACAAGCCACGCCCATCACCTCCCGTCCAGCGGACGCACGCAGGAACAAAGAGGTGAAACTTTTAAAAGTTATTTTATTGCTGTCCGATCGGTCGAGAAATAGGAACCGATCATCAGAGGGGGCAATCGATGACCCGCGCAATGGCATTAGAGCTGGGGCTGTAAAGCGCAGCCCTGTTAAAGACAATGTGATGTGAGACGCGGGGGGCGGGGGAGTAACGCGGAACTGGGCCCAGAGGTTGCACGGTTTTGTAAACGTGGCACCTCACAGGTACGGTGAGTCACAGTAGATGCACGGGCTGTCCAGGTGCTGCTTCATCCACTCGGGATCTGTGACACGGAGGACACAAGAGACGTGCGCTGAAAGTTAGACATGTACGTACACAGTGGCAGCAATCGTGTTGCATGGAGTTAATATGTAGCGCTTGAAAATGGGTTGTTTTTATTTTTATTATTGCGCTTGTTCATCCAGGAAAGGCTCAAGACTTTTTCAGCAGGGCCATGCCAAGTTTTCACAGTAGGTAGCGATGTTGCTGCTGCTGTGTGTAATCCTAATGGAGTAATTTTTCAGCATTGGGATAATTAGCCAATACCGGTTACATTGTGTGTGTTTTCTAGCTATGGGAGGAAACCGGAGAACCCAGAGGAAACCCTTGCGGAATAGGGGGAGAACATACAATCTCCACACAGAAGGATGTCTAAGTCAGGAATCGAACCCAGGCCCCTCTCGCTGCGAGGCACGATGAGTGTTACCACTGCGCCACCGTGCCGCCCCAAGCTTCTTACTAACGATACTTGTCTGGCAGTGCGTGTGGCTGTAGCGGGGAATGGCTGCTACTCTGCGTCCGTGTTGTGCGAGTTACCCGTGGCCTTGGGGAAGGCCGCCACGCTGTCGTGGAGGATGCACCGCCGGTACCGCCACGTCTGGCAAGCTGCGAATGTCACCGCGCACCTAGGAAGAGCAGACATACCACAGTGTTTTGCACGCACACGAAGAGACATGGCCGTCGTGCTGAAACGGGACACCTCGCATGCGACCGCCAGCAATCACTGGCATGGGCATTCCAGCAAACTCAACCGCCATTCATAATATATGTACTTTTTTTGTTGGGTTAGATTGCGTAGATATAAATGCGTCTCACTCTTCATCCGACTTAAGCCTCCCAGTTGTAGGTTGCGAGGGATTACAAAAAGGGATCGCTGAGAGAAAAACTCAAATAACTCCTCGGCACATTAAACGGCCTCATCATCCCCCACACTGCACCGCTTTGGAATTCCCTCCAACCGTCTTCTTCTCTTTTACCAAACTCTTGTTAATAACGTTGTTTCAATTCAACAAACGTGTTCCCCATTAACAACTTCGACAATGCTGTTTTGTTGCTGGCCGCTTGACGTCTTGGGTCTTCGGACCCCATGCGCTCGCGCACCTGAGCCACTGATGTCCATTGGCGCAGGTTGCTTTGGCGTGCGACACGAAGGGGATGACCGCGGCACACAGCACGCACTTCTCCTGGATGTCCTGCTTGCCGATCTTCTTCAGGATGTTCGCAGCCAGCACCTGCGCATCCGGGAACACCGCCGTCACCGTCACTCTCACAGGACGGCACAACCTCGTAAGCCCAGGCTCCCGCAGAGCAACAACAAGCAACAAGCCTCGCTGCGTCATGGTGGCTATGAAATGTGAACTACCTTGCCCGGTATACAGGAGACCATGGGTTCAATCCCGACCCTGACGCCTGCTGTATATTTGGAGTTTGCGTCTCTCTCTCCGTGGTCGCGTGGATTTTTCTCCGGGTCCTCAGGTCTTTCCCTCCACATTAAGAATCAACGTGGGTTTAGAGTATTTGGCTGCTATAAAGTTCCACATGACAAGCCACTTCATCGAGCTATCATTTGTGCCCAGGTTGATTTTGAAAAAGAGCTAGGTAGCTCAGTGACCCTTAACTGATAAAATAAAAAAATAGTTTTTCATATTTTAGTTTAGGATAAAACACACATTCTTCTTTAGTCCAGCTCTACATAAGTGCTTCCCTACCTTTAATCTCGTGAGCACTCTTTGGTTCTTTCGGTAAAGTCACGTAGGTGAAATTTTATTTGATCACCTATGTGACTTACCAAAAGAACCAAAGAGTATGGATCCTTGCAGTCACGAAAACTTCAAATCTAGAATGAATCTCGTGAGTGTCTACCCAGGAGAGCCTCACTGAGTCTCAAGATTCCATTTCAGGAGGGTCCTGCCAAATTTCGCAGTAGGAGGGGGCAATGTTGCTGTGTGTAATCCCAATTGAGTATTTTTTCAACACTGGGTTGTTTTTCCAATACCAGTTACACTAAACGGATGTTTTTTAGCTGATGGGATGAAACCGGCGAATAGAGGAAAACCACACAGGGCAGGGTAGAACATACAAACACCACACAGAAAGGCACTTTAGAAGGCAACTGAACCCAGGCGTTTCATGCTGCGAGGTATGAGTGTTACCACTGCCCCACGCTGCTGCCCAACCTGTGGTCCGCGGAACTGTTGTTGATGCAACACATTTCACAAGGCACCAGATCCATTCCTGCACGGTGGTACGAGTAAATGATTTGAGGGTTTGACAGTGGGCCGCAGTACCCATAAAGGTATGGAACCACCAATCAACGTGATTAAATCGACGTGATTAAAACAAAATGTAAGTATTTAGGCCACTGACTCAAATCGAGAAAGGTGATTGAACCTGTGGAAGAACGGACAGAAAATTTACTTTCAGAATTATTGAGGCTTGGCATCCTCTGCGAGGGAGAAAACGTGCAAGCCGCACCAATTGTCGAGTATTTACTGCGTGTGCGTGCGTTCGCACTCTATTCAGCGCCTTACCCGGACAGCGTTGTCTTTGTTACTGTTAGTTTGTTGTCATCACTGTGCTTATTGGTAAAGGTGATTTAGTTGGAGGGGGTTACCAGCCTTCGACACTTCACTTCATCTCAAGGTGCACCTAGCTTGGCACAAGCGCCGGTGGTGACATCACCGCCACTCAGCGGCGAACAGCGTTTGCTGCTGCTGTTGATGTCGCTGCCACGACCGCTCTTTGACTCGACTTGACAAACAGGCACGACATGGAACAAGAGAACCCCACGCACGGCCCATCACGAGAGACGGCAGCAGGAACGTGCCTGTGCATCGGTGGCGTGCGCGCTCGTGTCCCCACTGGTGATGAAGCTCAGCAGGCCGCGCGCTGGCAGGTGCAGGTGCAGGTCAAAGCGCGTGCACAGGAAGGCCCTCTCAAGGACACGGCACGCCGCTCCCCGGGCCAGCACCCTCTCCCTGCGCCGGATCTCGGCCAGAAGCCAGTCGTCTTCCGTCTCGTGCTCAGCACCTGCGAATAGACAAATACACATAGAATAGTAACATGTAGGCTTCGCCAGTGATTTGATTCCTGGCAAAACGTCGTACTCAGATTGCAAATGTTGTGGCTTTGCTCTCCAACACACCGGTGTGCTGTACGAGTGTAGTGTGTTCAAATATTACTCACACCGACACGTAAAAAGTAACCTGCTTACACTTTATTCGCCTATTCTTGCACCAGTTGTAGGCACTCCTGTAACTATCTGTACAGTCACTTAGATCTAACTTCTTCCTATTCGCATCTACTTACACCTCACTTATCCTGCAAACAGCGTCTCCGCACACAGCAACTCTACATCTCCACTGCTGACCCTGGAGCGGCAGCTGAGAGATGTCTTGACTCTTGGTTCCTGGCAACAACTCCCCCTCCGCTCACGAACACACCCTTATATCACTCTGTTAATTATCCGAGACCTCCCGTGCTTCTCTTAAGCTCTCGCCAGGCTGACGCCTGTTGGCCCATCAATCAATCTCTTTGACAGCAACCTCCAGCCGCAGCACATGCACCTGCTCGACCTCGGTTGCACCCGATTGCTCCCCTTAATTACTGGCAGTTGGTCGCTGCAAGCCGAATGTTGCACACGCGCACCTGTTTGCCCTCAGTTGCCCTCGGTTAACAGTGAGCACCGCGTATTTCACTACACTAGTAACGAATTGGCATGTTCTGTTTACATGACAAACCTTACTAATTGGCTGTGTCGGGTGGTGGCGGGTTTAACGACACATTTATATATTTACACAATCTAACCCAAAAAACTTGTATTATGAACACATAAAATAACCGTTGTGAATTCAACCGGTGTAGCGCACTGTCGTGCTGCAATTGCTCTCAAAGGTGCAAGAAGGAACCATAGACCAACAGGAAGGCAGCAGCCGTGCGGTGAGCCAGCGCCAAATTCCCCGCCCCGCAAGCTCTGCGGTCCCTTAGATATGAAGGTGTAGTTGGCCAATCATGGTGCTGTACTATCATATCCCGGCGAGGCAGGGCACGGCTCCTCCTCGACGGCCATGAGAAGGGAGTTTCACGCCAATTGCGTGATCCACCAACCCCTCACTACCTCCACACCAAGTACAACAACACAGCACGGACATACAGTACCCTGGCGTCTGTGGTAGTAGTTACAATGGAGAAACCAAACGACATGTCTCGAACCGCATTCGTAAACACAAAGCAGACCTGAAACACGGTAGGACCAACACCTCGGCCGTGGCAGATCACTGTTATAATTCAGTAGGTTCACATGACATTGACTTCTCCAAGACAGGTTCTTTGCAAGCCATCTGGCTACCATGAGAGATTCGTTCATGAGGCTATCTACATATACAAACACAGAGACAATTTCAACCGAGAAGATGGATTCTGGCTTAGCAATCATTGGAAGGATTTGATAAACCATTTCGGGTCCTAATTGATTGATCACGCTTAAGGTGGCTTTCAGACGGCATCCATTAATTTCGTCTCCCCCCTCCTCTTTTCCGAAAATAGATGGACTCGTCCATCTGAACAAACTGTCAAATCTCTCTCCGTGGTGCTAACGTTAAAAATAATTGCCACTTTTTTCAAATTTTCTTGTTGTGGTTTTCACACCTGATGATGATTGCTTGTGTTGCAGTCGAAACGTCGTGAGAATTTTGTTTTATATTTTTATTATTTTATTGTTTCCCTTCTACGTGACTTTACCGAAAGAACCAAGAATATGAATCCCTGCAGTCACGAAAGCTTTAAATCAAAATTGAGTCACCGGGTTCGTAGCGCATCACGCTAGCCGCCACCCAATGTACACAAATGGCAATGTATGCGAAGCATTGCTGTCTCGTGGTGTATATAGAACACACAGAGGCGTTATTGACGGAGGTTTTAGTTTGAAAAGCACAGTTTGAAAAATATGACGATACTAAGAGTGCTTTCATTAACTTTCCAGGGATCAAGCAACCCGAGCCTCTGCCATCAAACTCCGGTGAACGAGACGGCTGCTGCGATTGTTTGTTTTGCTGACACACGCAGCTCAAAACGTTACCAAGCCCTCATCGGCACTGTGATATCCAAGTCTCTGGCACAAGTCGCTGGTACCCACCTTCACTGACAGCTTCCGTGCTCTTCATTCTTGTGGCGTCTGCAGTGTTAAATTCCCCACCTGCGTTACTACCGCCATCGTCATCGTCGTCATCGTCCTCCTCGTCTTTGATGCCGTCCACACTCTCATCTTTGACGCCGGACACGACGCCGTTGCCGGCCCCGTCTGGACCGGTTCCCGTGGCTGGACGAGGCCGAGCGAAGGCCTCCGCCCCTACCGGCGGCCAGCGTGACCGCGGCCTCCCCCGGGCGTGAATGGCAAAGCGCAGCAGATAGAGCCTGACGCGCGTGAGGTAGGCGGCCCAGCGGCCCCGGTCCCGCGAGCGCACGCCACTCTCCTTCGCCTCCGTCAGGCGGTCCAACTCGGCCAGCATGGGGGCAGGCACCCGGCCTCCGACGTCGAGCGAGTGCGAGCGCAGCACCTCCAGCAGGTCGGCCCGCAAAAACGCCAGGCCGCAAGCGGACAAAGAGGGCGAGTCGGGCGGCGGGACGGAGACCAAGCGCCTGAAGGCCTCGTCCGGGTTGACGAGCGAGACGAACGCGAGCGAGTACGTCCTTTGCGGAGGGTGGAGGCCAAGAGTGACGGGGAAGTCACCGTCCGCGTGGCCACCATCTCGGTTCGGTGTTTTGCGGTGGCACGCCGGCTTCGTGGCCGGGTCTCGCTCGCAGGCGTCTCCGAAGCCCAGATCCTCGCCGTCTCCCCGAGTCCGTTGTTTCTCAGCAGATTCGTCTCGCCCCGCTTTGCACTCCTGGCCCGACGCCACCTCCTCCTCCTCGCTGTCCCCACCGGACAGCCCCTCCGTGGTGAGCACGGCGAGGAAGGCTCCGTTGGGTGATGCCGCGAGGCCGCGGATGCGCGCGCGGCCGAGGGGGCCCGGAAGCCTCATGATGCGCCTCTCGAAGCGCACCCATCGTCTCTGCCCCGCGACGGCGGGGATGCTGACGCTGACATCGCCCTCGCCACCACTGCTGCACAGCACGGGCCACACGCAGCACAGGGAGCCATCGGCAGAGGCGGTGTAAACCATCCCCCCGTCGCCGCCTCCGCCGTCCCCGTCGCCCCAACGGTTCGAGCAGACGGCGGCCATGCCGCAGATTGGCTGCGGGTGCAGGCCCGTGACGTGCGCTGTCTGCACGCTCATTCCTCCCCCGCTCACGCACACCACGCATGCCAGCAGGTGAGGCCCGCGGGCAGCGAGCACCACGCTCGTGCGGCCGCACTGCGACGTCGACGAGGGCAGCGCGCCCGTGTGGGGGCTCGCCCGGGCGTGGGAACCGGCCTTGGGGGCGGCCTTGGAGGCGGTCTTGGCGACGGCCTTGGGGGCGGTCGCTGGCCGCGCGGGGTCCGCCTGCGGAGGCCCACCGGGTGCGCCGGCTTGTTCGGTGACGCCGGTGCCCCCGGCATGCTGAGCGGCCGGCGCGCCCGAGCCCTGCGAGGAGGGGAGCTTTGCTCCGTGCACGCTCGTGTCGCCCGAGGGCACCATGTCAAGTGTGCGGATGAAGTTCACAGACAGGCCGTCCTGGCTTGACCACAGGGTCACTGGCTGCCGCAGTGTGAAGTAGCCCTGCAACACAACAATGCACAACGCGCGTCTGCATACGCGCTGCGAAAAGCGCGAGAAAACAACTTAATCGGCCTTGCAAGTCGACAAGACAAACATTCGTAAATATCCCTGCCCTTTAGTAGCGCAGAAGGAGCAATGTGGTGGTGGCAACAATGACATACCCCCACACTGCATCAGTTTACATTCCCCATTGAGAACCGCGCAATGTGCGTGTGAGATCCGGCAAGCGGTGCATTGCGGGGAAGAGTCCTCACAGGGACAGAAAAGTAAAGAGAGACAACCACGGCAGCCATGCTGCTGGTGAGCACCTTGACAGCAGAGAGATTGACCGGCAGGAGGCGCACTTGCCCCATGGAGTCTCCCACGACAAGTCCGTTGATGTTCTGCGAGCCCACGTGGCAGGCCCACCAGCTGAGCGAGCGGGGGCTTGCCAGGCCCGACTCCAGCACCGAGCCCAACACCACGTGGGCACTCGTGCTGGCCGGCACCAACACCTGCAAAGGACGTACGGTGAGAAGCGGAAAACCGAGTGGTGACTGGTTGGCGAGTACGAGGTACATGTGTGTACACTGAACTTATTTCGCACCATACGTAAACAACCACCTCCTCCTCCTTCTCCCCATCCCCTTTACCCCCAATTTCAGTTCTTCCTCCCTTGGCTTTCCCTCCCCCCCATATAAACTCTGACGCTCACGGTCCCCACCAGGGTGGGGCAGTGAGCCCAATGTCTCCCCTCCTCTAAACCCAGCACCACAGAGTTTGGGGACTTCTTCTGTCCACGGAGTTTCAGTGCCCAGCCTCCCCACGTCGCAGTTTGTGATCTGTCATCATCATCACGATCCATGGGCAAATAGCCCATGGATCGTGATGTCCACTGAACATCTCGTCATTTGTTTCCACTTTTTTTTGTCTTGTGCCAATATGTTCAAAGTAGTGGCCACATCTTTCTGGCATCAATCTCTTTCTGTCGTCGTCAAGCCATTATCTGTCAGGTCTTTCTCTTTTTCCCGTTGCTTCCATTTTTCTGAACGCACTTTTAATTTCCTGTTGTCCATCTTACTATAGATGTGTTGAAATGGTTCCACAGTTTACTTCTCATCACTGCCTCTATCATCAGGTCTTCCTCTATGGTGCAACCTTTTTCATACTTCTACCTTGGTCACTCTCATCATCATCACGATCCATAGGCTCTGTACCAGGCTCATATTTGTTGTGTAGTAACTCTTGACACCCAGGAGACTTGTAGAGGAAGACGGAGACGAGGATTTTTACATAGGGCTGCTGGCCGTTTATTCACACTCTTGCACACTCTTATACACTATGTTTACACTCTCTATACTCGCCACTTACACCCATCAGAACTTTGTCCTTTACGCGGACATCCCTCAGCTATCTACGCCCCGGTACGGCTTCCCTTATGCCTACCCCCTCGTCTGCCCCGGGTGGGGGCTCACCCATCACCGCCCGGCGACGAGGTGAGGCTTCTACATCACTAGCCCTTCTTCGGCGGCGGCTGGGATGTCTTCCACGCAGGCTCTCGTTCCCATCTTCTGTATCCCCGCGACGACCCCGGAAATGTTGTGTAGTAACTCTTGACGCCAAGCAGGATTGTAGAACCACACGAAGACGGATCTTCAGGTAAAGGCTTACGACAGTTTAATAACCCTCTTCACACGACTCTGTGTACTGCACACTCACTGACTGGTTACACTCTACACTCGACGCCTACACCCATTATGGTGCGTGTCAGAACTCTGGCCTGCACGTGGAACTCCTTCCAACTATCTACACCTCGGTAGGGCTTCCCTTGCCTACTTCCTCGTCTGCCCCGGGCGGGGGCTCACCCATCACCGCCCGGCGACGAGGTGAGGCCTCTACCCCTCTAGCCTTTCTTCAGCGGCGGCTGGGGTGTTCCCACGCAAGCTCTCGTTCCTCTTCCCATGGCGGCCACTTCACTCTCCCTCCGGCGACCCTGCCCTCGTCCCGGGGTCCCCCTTAAGTACCCCGCCGCGTCGATGACATGACGTCATCACATCACGTCATCCCACTCTACAGATGACATCACGTCATCCCACTACTCCTCCACATATTGAAATACAATATAAGCGATAAAAACAAAGATATCCAGCGGAGTTGCGAGCCGGTGCCTCGGTACCTGCCAAACGACGATGTGGCCGCTGGCCATCATCACGGCGAGGAGGGCAAAGTGAATCTCCTCGCAAGCGCCCGACTTGTCTCTGACGCGCGTCGTCGTGAACATGCGTGACCACTCCACGCTCACGGGCGCCTGCATCTGGCTCCTCCGCTGTAGCATACAACCACACAGAAAGACAAAGATCCCCCATATAGCCTTTAAAAGACTGTTAGGGCAAGTGCTATTAGCGAGTAACATCTATGAAGGCTGACACGGCACACGAGGGGGTGGCTGGCCAGCACTACGTCCAGTCGCCTTTGTCTCCCTAGTGGCAATGTTTACACACCGCACCAGGTACTCAATTGAGGCTGAGTCGACCTCGCGAAGGCCCAGAACTGGTTCAGATAATCGTCACTGGTGTTAGCCCTGAGCGGGAATCGAACTTGGGTTGCTGGGTTCGGAGTGCAGCACGCAAACCGCGACACTACCGCTCCCCACACACACAATCATATTCACACAAAAACAACCGCCATTTGCCACTAAGTAGCGGTGATGTCACCACGGCACTTGTGCCAGGCTAGGTGCACTTTTTAGGCCACGTTAAGTGTCGAAGGTTCACTGACAGGTCATGGGACAGAGCCAGCTGTGCCCCCTACTGTGCCAACTTGCTGCATATTAGCCAGCCGGCACTCCACTCGTTGTCGTGAGCATCGCTCCTCTGCCCTCCATTGTTGCTGGAGGAAGACTGCCTCCTACTGCCCAGTAGCAACCTTCATGAGCCTCCTCCAGAGGCCAATCTTGACACCGCTGGTACCAGTCTTTGGCAAATCCACTCAGCTCCACATCCTCCTATACCTCATCAGTCCATCTCTTCTCTAGCCCGTGTCGTGCGTAATTAACCCCCTCTATCTGGCCAAACATAAGCTGCTTGAGCATGCGGTGGTTGGGCATGCCGGCTACATACCCCAGCCAACACAGTCTTGCCTGCCAGAGGAGCTCACCGATGGGAATGCGACCCAGATATATCAATGATTTGTGAGCTCCTCACACAACCCAGCCTGGTTAAACCCAGGATGGATCTTAGGCAGGCCGACCTGAATGTTTCGAACCGGCGCCGATGCACGCTCAACCACACACATAGCTGCTCACCTGCACGCTCACACGGACCGACACACACGCTCACTCACGCGCTCACGCCCAGCACGCCGGCAGACACCCCGACGCGACACGAGGGCCACAGCCATGGCATGTGGGAGGTGGTCAGGAGGCTCTGGGGGATAAGGCCAAAGTGCCTGCATGGTAGATGCTCACCACACCTCAAGAAGCACAACAGCCTCTCTGGTCAGTGCGGGCAGGTGAAGAGGAACCTAGGCCCGGTTCAAATTCCACTTGCCACTGGTGGTAGCCGTGGCCAAGAACTAAACTCGGGCAACCGATTTTAAAGCGAAGCGTGATAACCGCTGAATCACCGCTCCACCGGCTTCCTTTAGGTTGTTTTATTTAAACTCGAATTACTGCTCTAAAATGCTTTGAGTGGAAGCCGTTCCTTGCATAGATCTGAGGTAGGGCTCCCTGGGGAAGGCCGACCAGGCAAGGGAGCAGGCTGGGGCTGGAGCCTCTTCCCAGACTACTTCATTCATCCCTTTACTTCTGCCCATGGACATGGGATGTTTGATTTTAAATCGCTCCATGATCTGAAACTGAAATGAAAAACACGAGGAACTGATTTGCATCGACATGCGGAACATTTGAAGATCGCAGCATTGATTCACGTACAAAAGTATCCACACTTAAATTTAGCTCAATGGTATTGGAGCCGCATTACACACAAGATTAACAAAAGTTCATGTCAATGCATCACCGACAGCGGAAACTGGCGGTGAAGCAAGGTGCCACGTGTGGGACGAACCTTGAATTCGTCAAAGTCTTTGAGGGAGGCCCCGTCAGCTGCGTGGTAATTTTCCTTCTTTAAAATGTCTCTGTACATTTGGGTGAGGTCGGCGAGGCACGACCAGGTGTGGACGTCCCGCTCGGCCCACACCCACAGCGAGACGAAGCCCTCCGAGGAGAGGCACACGAGCATAGAGCGCCCACGAACGTCGCACCCCACGGGGCTCCAGCGTGCACACACGCAGCCACCTGCAGCCAGCACACACAGCCGCCGGTGTGAAACACGGCCATTTACAGCAACCGGTGTGAAACACGGCCACTCACAGCAACCGGTGTGAAACACGGCCACTCACAGCAGCCGGTGTGAAACACGGCCACTCACAGCAGCCGGTGTGAAACACGGCCATTTACAGCAACCGGTGTGAAACACGGCCACTCACAGCAGCCGGTGTGAAACACGGCCACTCACAGCAGCCGGTGTGAAACACGGCCACTCACAGCAGCCGGTGTGCAACACGGCCACTCACAGCCGCCGGTGTGAAACACGGCCACTCACAGCAGCCGGTGTGAAACACGGCCACTCACAGCAGCCGGTGTGAAACACGGCCACTCATAGCCGCCGGTGTGAAACACGGCCACTCACCGCAACCGGTGTGAAACACGGCCACTCACAGCAGCCGGTGTGGAACACGGCCACTCACAGCAGCCGGTGTGAAACACGGCCACTCACAGCAGCCGGTGTGAAACACGGCCACTCACAGCAGCCGGTGTGAAACACAGCCACTAACTTCACATAGGCAGCCACATGCAGCCAGCGCACACAGCCATCAGTGTGAAACACAGCCACTCACGTCACTCACTGCCACAAATGTGAAAGACTGCGACTCACGTCAATCATGTCCAGATTTCAGCCACCCCTTGTTAAACCAGGTTCTGAAGTATGAATGTATGTTGAACTTCTTTCGCACCGTACATAGCCAAACGTGCTGAGCAGAGGTGTGGGAAGTGTAGCAAACGGACAGGTCTCAGCCCGGTCACCATCCTAATGAATAGGTTGTTTTTTTCACACAACCTGGAAAATTCCAGCTCCCTGCATCAAAACGCTCGCTTTGATGACCACTCGGCAAGTGTGGATCCGAGGCCACGGCGGCGAGCCCGGAGCCGATGCTCACCGCGCAGCGGCACGTTGGCGCCGTGCGTGCGTGTGAAGCCGCGGTGCAGCGCGAACTCGTGGCGATCTGCGGCTCCCAGCGTCCCCTCCTCGCCGGCCTCCTCCAGGTGGGCGTGCGCCGCCGCCGCCTCCTCCTCCTCCTGCTGCTGCTGCGGCCCCACGGACACCGCGGAGGTGGCGGAGGGGATCTGTGCGGACCACGCGCAGCACCGGAGACAAACGCACGCGGCGCTAGCGCCGGGAGGCCAAGGTGCTGGGATCGACCCACGTGCTTAACCTGTAACAGTACAACGTCGACCCCGGACGATGAAACTTGGAGAGGCAAATGGAGTTCAGAAGAAGTCACAAACACCCCGTGGAAGACACGACGCAAAAGATCCCCTGGCTTTGGATTTTACAGGAAGCTTATGGGCCACAACCCTAAACCAGCGTGCAAGTGGTCACCCAGAACAGAACCAATTCCCGATTCACAAATATAAAGGAGGCATCGGAGAGATTCTCTCCACTCACTCCTCATGCAATCATCCGGCTCAACCACCTCCATGTAAAACTACAGCTGTTGCTCTGCCAGTGGTTCTCAAGAGTGCTATCCCCGTACCACCAGGAGTCGTGACAATCCTCTTGGTGGTCCGTGGCGCTGTGATGCAAATGGATCTGGACGATTAATAGTTTACTTATATTTCACTTAAAATAAAGTTAGGTAACTACCCTCATTAAACGACCCTAACCCTAAGATTGAAATTCCACCCCTAAAAAAACACATTTAAACCTGCGTTTACATTTTTGTATGTTTCGGTAATATTAATGACTTTGTATTAGTGGTATTTAGAGAGAGGTGAATGCCTTTTGTCACCAGGGGTGGTGATGTTGGTCGTGGTGTTGTTGGTATTGTTGTTGGTGCTGGTGATGTTGGTGGTGCTGGTGATGTTAGTGGTGGTGATGTTGGTGTGCTGTTGGTGATGTTTTTGGTGGTGGTGTTGTTGTTGGCGATGTTGGTGGTGCTGTTGGTGCTGATGGTGTTTGTGGAGGTGATGTTGGTGGTGTTAATGATGTTGGTGGTGTTGATTATGTTGGTGGTGATGATGTTTGTGGTGATGTTGTTTGTGGTGATGTTTGTGGTGGTGGTGATGTTTGTGGTGGTGGTGGTGATGTTGTTGGCGATGTTGGTGCTGATGGTGATGTTTGTGGTGGTGATGTTGATGTTGTTGGTGTGCTGTTGGTGATGTTGGTGTACTGTTGGTGACGGTGGTGATGTTGGTGGTGGTGCTGTTGATGATAGTGGTGGTGCTGTTGGTGATGATGGTGATGTTTGTGTTGTTGTTGGCGATGTTGGTGGTGCTGTTGGTGTTTCTGGTGGTGATGTTGGTGGTGTTGATGATGTTGGTGGTGTTGATGATGTTGGTGGTGTTGGTGGTGGTGATGTTTGTGGTGATGGTAATGTTTGTGGTGGTGGTGGTAGTGATGTTTGTGGTGGTGATGTTTGTGGTAGTGATGTTGTTGGCGATGTTGGTGGCGGTGTTGGTGCTGATAGTCATGTTTGTGGTGGTGGTGATGTTTGTGGTGGTGATGTTGGTGGTGGTGATGATGTTGGTGGTGATGATGTTTGTGGTGATGATGTTTGTGGTGGTGGTGGTGGTGGTGATGTTTGTGGTGGTGATGTTTGTGGTGGTGATGTTGTTGGCGATGTTGCTGGCGGTGTTGGTGCTGATGGTGATGTTTGTGGTGGTGATGATATTGGTGGTGATGATGTTTGTGGTGGTGATGATGTTTGTGGTGATGATGTTTGTGGTGGTGGTGGTGTTTGTGGTGATGGTGGTGTTTGTGGTGGTGGTGGTGATGATGTTTGTGGTGATGGTGGTGGTATTTGTGGTGATGATGTTGGTGGTGGTGATGTTTGTGGTGGTGGTGATGTTTGTGGTGGTGTTTGTGGTGGTGGTGATGTTTGTGGTGGTGGTGTTTGTGGTGGTGGTGTTTGTGGTGGTGATGATGATGTTTGTGTTTGTGATGTTTGTGGTGGTGATGTTTGTGGTGGTGGTGTTTGTGGTGGTGGTGTTTGTGGTGGTGATGATGATGTTTGTGTTTGTGATGTTTGTGGTGATGATGTTTGTGGTGGTGGTGTTTGTGACGTTTGCGGTGTTTGTGGTGGTGGTGTTTGTGATATTTGTGGTGTTTGTGGTGGTGGTGTTTGTGATGGTGGTGTTTGTGGTGGTGATGTTTGTGGTGGTGGTGTTTGTGATGTTTGTGGTTGTGGTGGTGGTGTTTGTGATGGTGATGTTGTTTGTGGTGGTGGTGGTAGTGATGTTTGTGGTGGTGGTAGTGATGTTGGTGTTTGTGGTGGTGGTGATGATGTTTGTGGTGGTGTTTGTGGTGGTGGTGATGTTTGTGGTGGTGGTGTTTGTGGTGGTGGTGATGGTGGTTGTGGTAGTGATGTTGGTGTTTGTGGTGATGATGTTTGTGGTGGTGATGTTGTTGGCGATGCCCCGTGGCTGCCCCCCCTGCACCTGCAGCGCGGTGACGCGGAGTCGAGGCCGCGGGTCGCCCGCCCCGGGCGCCTCCTCCCCCCCCTCCTCCCCCCCGCCACCGCCCGCGCCCAGCAGGAGGATCTCGGCGACGCGGACACCGCGCTCCGTGCTCACGCTCACGCGCTCGTCCCGCGACCACGACACGGGCTCGGGACCGCGGGGACGCGCGCCCAGGCGGGACGGCGCCGCGTGGAGGCGCATGGGGAACGCGACCCTCCCACCCCACACACTCCGCACGGACTCCCCCCCCGCTACCCCTCTACGTCTACACGCGCGCAGCGCCCTGGCGGTGTCGCTCGTCTGCCGGGTAGATGGTCCGCGCGGCGCTCTTGCTGGGGTGCGCTGGCTGGGACGTGCAGGGCTCTCTGCCACGTGTGCGTGTGACCGCGCACGTGCTCACACCCTGAACGCACGGACCAAGCCGCGCATTTGGCAGCGGCCGATTCGCAGCGCGGAGCCGACGCCAGCTCAGAGGGATTCCCTCCAGGAGACTCGCGTCACTCCGGGGCGGGAGGGGTGGGGGGGTTCCCCCGTCTCGCCACCAAATATGGACACCCGCCCACGTGGAGAAGAGAGGACGACGTCTTCGACGTCGTCGTTGTTTGTTCGTGGGTTTACTCTCCAACACAAAGCATCTATTATTAATCATCATATCGCCTGCGAAAACCTACTACGCACAAATGATGTGATCGATGCGTCATTTAGCTGTGGATGGCGGTTGATCAGTTTAACACGAAGCAAGGCTTTTGCGAGCAATATCATGAAAAAGTTTTGGGTTAAAATGCGTCAATATAAATGTGTCGTTAACCCACCACCACCCGGATACAGCCAGTTAGTAAAGTTTGTCATGTAAACAAAACGTGCCAAGCACAAATCTGGAAAATTGCCTGAAGTTGGTTGCAATCAGATAAATATCTTACTGATATTGTAAATGTGGGTTTACTCTCCAACACACCGGTGTGCTGAAGTAATAACTAATTGGCACGTTTTGTTTACGTGACAAACCATTACTAATTCGCTGTAGAGGGATTAACGACGCATTTATATTTACGCGATCTAATTAAAACAAAACCCATTATTCTGAACAACCTCGTTAGCTGAAAGTTACACCGCCTCATTATCTGTCCCTCCACATCAAATAAACAGTACAGTATGCCTATTTTTACACATCCCATCAGCCACCCGCGGCTCTTCCTTCTAGGAGTGCATAATTTCAAAACCACTGGGTAAAGACAAGCAACACTGAACCGGTTTCGACATACAGCGTCTCATCAGAAGTCAGGTTGAGCTTGACTCAATGCTGGTCAACTGCCAAATGTTGGATATCGGTCCTAGTTCTACACAAAACTACAGCGTGTTTCAAAAAGATGGACCCAATTTCAAAGCAGTATATTTCACGATGGCAACATGTTACAATTACACAAAAAGTTACAAACGGTATAATGAGTTGTACTAACCATTTTATAAATGCTCTATGTGTCCTCCACCTGCTGTACGGACAACATCGAGACGATAGTTGAATTCGTCCCAAACGCTTTCCTTAGTCACCTGCACGAAGAGCCTGTACCATTTGCAAATGGTATGGCCTCATGATTAAACGTCGCCTTAACACGCGCCAGACAGTCGTATGAGGGATCGCAAGTTCTCGGCTGGCACGACGAGTGGACTTGCGCGGGCTACGCAGAAAACTCTCTTGAATTCTTCTCACGTTTTACTGAGGTGCGTGGTCGCCCTGTGCTCTTCCCCTTACATAAACAGCAGCCCGTTTCCTCAAATTGTCGGTACCAACAACGAATGTTCTTTGACATTGGCGGATCAATGCCAAAACGCCGTTGAAACGCACGCTGCACGGCAATTACGGATTCAGTCTTGCTGAACTGCAGAACGCAAAACGCCCCTTGTGTTGCGGGGTCGCCATCTAGAGAATGACGTGAGGCTAGGGGCTAATTGTGCGCTGGGAGAGGCATCTAGCGGTAATCATTTGAAACTCTATGCCCCGCCCTTTCAAGTGGTAAGCGTTTAATTCATGGGCGGTTCGTAGTTGCAAAGATATATCGATTTCAAATCGGGTCCATCTTTTTTTAAACACCCTGTATATATGTAGTGCCGTGAATTCACTCGGACGACAACCGTCTCTTTTTCCGCCGTCACTTTTATTCCATCGTTCCGTACACACAGTAATTATCTCCGTGCTCCGCCAACTCGGACACTCCGATTTACTTCAGCATCGTCCGTGCATCCCCTTCCACACACAGTGTTCCTTCCTCTATCTCTTGACACACAGTGTCTTCCCTTCCACACACAGTGGTTCGTCTTCTATCTCCTCACACACAGTATCGCCGCTATCTCTTCACACGCAGTGACTTTCCTTCCACACACAGTGGTTCTTCTTCTATCTATTCACACACAGTATCCTGTCTGTCTATGCACACACAGTGACTCCATCTATCTATTCACACAAAGTGACTCCATCTATCTATTCACACACAGTGACTCCATCTATCTATTCACACACAGTGACTCCATCTATCTCCGCTAACGCTGACTCTCCCTATCGCTATTTACTGTCTTTGGGGTCCGGCTCTTTATCTATTCTTCCCTAACATTCCAGCTGTCTTCTTCGTATCTCTTCACCTCTCGCCAACAACTGCCCAGCAACAACTCTCCAACAACAACTCCCCAGCAGCAACTCCACTCCGTTCAAACCACCTCCCGTTTTATCCCCTTTCGCATTAGCCTTAATTAATTGCCACGTGGCTCGCTGGCCGTTTTCCGCCAGCTCGCACCTGTCCCCTCCATCAGACATCCAGACGCCACCCCTTAACACTAACAGCCTCTCGACCAATCACAGCCCTCGTGCCACGACTCCCTTAATTACTTCGAGTTGTTTACGCCACCCGCGACTCGACCACCTGTTCGACCTCATGTGACCTGTTCTCCTTGTCTGTCTGTATGTACTATATATGGCCAATTCCTATGCGTATTGTTTACTCCACTACATATATACGGGCGCCGCTGGCGGTGGCGAGATGTTAACTACCTTACTTCGTATACATGAGGTCGTGGGTTTGATCCCGATTCTGACGCCTGCTGTACATTTGGAGTTTGCATATTGTGGTCGCGTGGATTCTTCTCTGGTTTTTCCCACCACATTATTAAACACGCGTTTAGAGTATTTGGCTGTCCTAAATGTCCCGTGATAATCCACTTCGTTGAGCTATCGTTTGTGGCCAAGTCGCTTCTTAAAAAGAGCTACATAGCTCAGTGGGCCTTATCTGGTAAAATAAAAACTAGTTTAATAGTTTCATATTGTACACGACACAAAATAATGTAAAAACAAAAATCAATTCGGCAGATCGCCAATCGTAGTGGCTCACGCACTGGTTCAATCTCCCAGTGCGGCAGTTAAAACAACGGCGCAGATTTATTAAATCCCCCTTCTCCATGTCCAACCGGTAATATACATGAGCACACCAATGTCGAGCCGCAGGTCGCGTCTGGCCAGCGTGAAAGAGGAGACCAAATTGCATCTAGAGGTCTCTCTCCTCTTGTGTAGTCAGTTCATTATCCACGCAAAACCCATTGAAAATGTATTTCTTCAGAACTGCTTTGTGTTTAGTTTCTTGTCTTTACCCCACACCTCCTATAAGGTTGGCTACGTACGGTGCGAAAGAAGTTCAACACATTGTGGAAGCCCTTCTGCTAGCAGTGGCGTGAGCAAGCACTTGCATGGCTGCACCTGTACCTTATCTGTGTTGTGAACGCGGTATCGTGTTGTGTTCATGGGGTGTCACGGGACCGAGACAGTTCTGAAGCAGACGAGGTAAGGTTAGTTAGAATGTCAGTCACGTTTCACTCGAAGTGGCTACACCAGCATGCAATACTTTATTTTTTAAAATACTTCACCTGGAAAATCCCGAGATGGAACACCTCGTTTTCAAGCGTGTCTATTGACACACAACAAACACGTGATGACAGTGTTACACAAAGACCCCCCCCCCCCCCCCCCATATAGCCTTTAATAGACTGTTGGGGCAAGTGCTGTTAGCGAGCATCTACTTTTACATACACAACATACCAGCCCACAGCAACATTGGCTATCAGCAACACTGACAATCCCACTTCGGACACCAATCTGTCGCGCGGCGCAGTCTGTCTGAATTGGTGGCAGAAGTTACATTTTGACGCATTGAGCGATTGTGCTGTGGTCTGGGATTGTTGTTTTTCTACCTTCCCAAAGCTTGCATCTATTGTACAAAAAATCGGCAGGAATAAGTACACTTTTGCAATTTGTACTTTTTCCTTGATTCATTTTATTGTGACTTGTTTACCTTTCCTATTATTAAACTCTCGGTGTTTGTATTTTGTTTTAATTTTCTAACCCGCCCCAACTGGACATATGTGAAAAAGAGCTTCATAGCTCGTCGGATTCATTCATCCAGTGGATGAATGAATTTAGTCAGGATGAGGGTTCAGCATCCTAATGTGAGACCGGAGAAACAAATCAACTCTGGGTAATAATCGACTCTCCATTATCCCCTTGCTGAAATCGGACATCACATTCACTAAGTTAGTTCATAACCTTGGTTAACATAATCAATCTATAACTACACACGAGTGTAAACTCTGCAGACACTGTTACTAGGTTTATTCTGAAAAATAAGTGAATACCTCAGTGGGCTTTGCCAGGTAGGATGGGATTGGCTTGGTTGTATTTGTATGTGTTTGGGTGATTTGTTTACCTTTCGTGTACTTTTCACTCCTATCATGTTTTTGTATTGTTTGTCGTTGTTTTTGTATTTTTTTGTCGTTCTTACCCCACGATCCTACTGGGCATCTGTGAAAGAGCTGTATAGCTCATCGGATTCCTCCAGTATAGATACATATTCTTATTCTGAATATATAAACGTATACAATTACTTTAATTACAAATATACAGTACATACACGTTGCCATCTGGAGAATGTGTATTGATTCATTGTGTAATAACTGATGTGATGTCTCAACGTGGGCATATAAAACAGCGAGACATATAATGTTATGTCGACCTTTATTCACATTGTACATGTCAGTATATTACTGTGCACATTGTGAGTGTACATTTTAAACCTTTGCACAGCATTCGTGTTATCACACGGTGGTACAATGCCAGAGGCGGTGACGTGGCCAAGCCAGGTCAATGCTCACTCCTTGGTGCAGAGCGGTAGGCTGCCCTGGTTATCGCTGTAGGGGTCTAAGCTGTAACGTACGGTAACGTACGACACCGTACACACCGCCTGCTTCACAATGAACATTCAGGATGCCCCGACGTCATTCTAAACGAATTCGGCCATTGTGTGCCAGCATTCTTTGGTCCACATTGGCCAAATAAAGAAAAAATACCTACAAATCACTCAATTGTGAATTACACATGGCAACATCGCCCCCAATTATGACGCGACTGCAGACTACGTCTGTGTAACATAGCGCCTTCGTGATAGCCTTGCGCGAAGGGAATAGCGCGAAGACCAAATGTACTCAATTTTTATCATTCGACAAGGGAGACCAGGCTGTTCACATTCATGTAGTGCAGCTACTCAAGTAAACGACGCGTCAATGTGAACTTGGACTCTATTGACTCTTATTGAATGGTGCAAACATTCACACGCACTGTAAACATCACCTTTCCCCCCTTCAACTAAACCCCTCCTTGTCCTGCCCCCGAGTGGGCAATTGCTTTCAAGACAGTAAATGGCTTTTCGAGAGGAGGCGAGACAGAGCGGACCGCGGATCCTGGAGGAGGTCGTGGGGAGACGCGAACTCCAGCACTCGCCCGCCTTGCAGCACGAGGACCCGGTCGGAATCCAGAATCGTGTTGGGCCTCAAAAAACCAAAGCAATGAAGCACACGACCAGACGGGCATGATCTCAAAATCGGTGCCGAGAATCGGTAAGAGGAGAGCAGACGAAACCTTATATAATGTCACCCTGTTTATACCAAAATAAACGTTAGTCAGTTTAACACGTAGCAGGCTTTCGTGACCAATATTATCCATAAGAGGTTTTTGGGTTAGATAGTTTGTAATTTTATATGAACATTAACCCTCCTCCTCCTCTTTGCACCTGATTGGCTCACAAGAGACGACTATTCATGTATCAATCTATTTAAGACCGAAAGAGGAGGATTTCTCCACAACTCTGGCTATTGTCTGATGAGACTGGTTGATATAATTACCGGCCGAAACGTCACGGTGCTCGAATTGTCAATGCTGTATTGGGTTTACTCTCCAACACACCGGTGTGATGAATTAGTAATGAATTGGCATGTTTTGTTTACATGACAAACCTTACTAATTGGCTGCGTCGGGTGGTGGCGGATTTAACGACACATTTATATTAACGCGATGTCACCTGAAAATCTCAATTATGGGCAAAAAAGATGTTCGTTTGAAATAGATCAGCCCTTTCTGGTGAGGATGATTTGTCATTTTCTCTACCTACGAACACTCGTGAGGACATCTAAGGGAGGTAGGCACAATGGTGACCATTCAGCTCTCAAATCCATGCTGTGCACAGATCTTGGAAGCTTAGCGGAGTTGCGCTTTGGTAGCAATCGGGGTGGCAGGTACCTATGGATACCAACTGTTGTAGGCTCAAGCTGTGAGGTAGAAAGATCACAATACAGCAAAGCATTCTTGAATCTATCTCTGGAGATTTCAGTGTTCGAACCACTGGGGCTATGCACTTTTAAATATAGATTGAAAACTAAAAATTAATTTACATAGAACTGCTTTTTGTATTTAGTTGTCCTTCCCCGGGCACCTCCAATTAGCATGGTTGGCTACGTACATAAGTATATACATATACGTATGCATGTGTTTTCTGCGCACAGTTTGGTTTCGTTCTGTAGGCCAATCTCTCTTTAACGGATTTGGCCAAACATCTCATTGGAAAACCTCTTGAAAAAGAGTCCTGAGACTCAGGAACATCTGGATAGAGGGCATTATCATTAGTCCTACTGTCACCTGCTATACACAATGCAAGAAGCCCATCCTCATGCCAACTGGAGCTAAGCACATTGGCTAATAACATTTGTGTACGAGTGTTTAGTTGTCTTACCGATGTGCAATAGTCAGCACTGTGCTGTTGACAAACTCGCTCCTGATGGTTTTTTGCAGCAGCACGTCCGTGTCTTGATCAACACTCGCAGTTGCTTCATCTATGCACAGAATCTGAATTGACATAAAAAGACAGGCAATTATAATTTAACAAATATATCCACGAGGACTTTCCTTTAAGCAGATAAAAAGCTGCTGTTGATAATTACGTGTGACCTTTTTGCAAAGTAAATGAATAACTTTGTTGGACAATTCGGTAAATATGCAGATGTATGGGGTTAAAAACACAGGCAAAATCTCAACAGCTGTGATAGTAAAAACTGTATGAAGTTTGTTTCACTCGGAAAGTAAATGGTTTCCATCGGAATCATTTTGCAAAGGCAGATGAAGCAAACGGCAGCAGATGCCAACCTTGGCCTTGAAGAGCATGGCACGTGCCAGGCACAGCAGCTGCCGCTGACCACAGGAGAAGTCTCTTCCTCGCTCAGCCACCTCTGCTTGGAGGCCACCTGACACAGACACGCGGGAAGTCTGGATGCTCCGCAATGCATTCACTCATTCGTTAACGCTTTGTCGTTCCGATGACGTGTACATCATCAGTTTTTCTTCCGATTCCGTTTCTGATGATGTATGTGTACATCATTGAAACCAAACCGGAAGAAATACCAAACTAAAATAAGGCCATGCAGGAAGGTGTGTGGCACAGTTTGGTACTAGCTACCGTAGAGTGCGGTCGTGTCGCTACAGTTCTCTGCGGTGAGTGCAACGTCTTGAAAAATGGCGCTACGCCTCTCTAAATAAAATTAATCCTGAGCCACTTGTGCATTCCGAGATTCAGCAGTGAACGGGACACCCTCCTTGCAACTTGCAAAACATCTCGGAGTGGGAAAGGGTTAAATTGATATGACTGCGCTTGCAGACACAGCAGTGCCAGTCCAAAATCCTAGCACTGTAATTAGGGAGATGGGTAACATCACGAGTAGGGTTTTACTCAGGACGGTGGGTAGAGTGGTTCTAGTCTAGACTAGGGCTGTAAAAACAATTACCGCGGAAATTGTTACCGTTTTCAGGATCGATTAGATTCTGAAATTCAGGAACCAGGAGACTGCAGTGGAATTTTATCCATGAATGCACTGATTGAACTTGCCCCATTGTTGAACCGGTTACCCGGCAAGTCTGGAGTTCTGACCATCACATAAGGGAGCTCCCTTCTTTTCTCAGTTTAAAAAGTAAAGTTTGTGATATTTACTGCCGTAGACATTTCTAGATGTGTGGCAAGCCGGTAATCGGTATTTACCTTTTATTTGCTTGTGGTTAATGGTTCTGCAAAATACACGATTTTAATAACCCTAGTCTCAAGTTGCGAGACCCTTGGTGGAGAATAACTACGAGTGTCCAGAGGTCATTGACGCCCACATTATACCCAGTGTTTTATAACGAGCAGTAGAGCAGCAAGACCATCAGGTAATCAGCATAGATGTTGCCGGATGTATGTTGAACTCCTTTCACACTGTACGTAACCAACCGTGCTAAACAGAGGTGTGGGGGAAGGACAACAAACTAAATACAAAAATCTCCCAGTAGGCCACAGAAGGGACAAATACGGAGAAACGGGTGGCTGCTGCTTAGTGCCCCGCTAGCTATCGGCCACCACAGTTGGCCACGTGTTCTGAAAAAAACATCCCGTATTAGTTCCCTTATATATGAACAAGGCCTGTGCTGCCAGCTGTGAAAAGTTGCTTGGCTAACCACCATCCCGGGTGAGAATTCAGTTTTAATGAAAGTGATACTGAGCCTCGTGAAACTGTGGAGGCCGATGTGAAAGGAAGTAATTGGATTAAGAGTATTATCTGAGCTAGAATAAGGTATTGAAATGTGAGAAATATTGACCCAGGAGATAAAGCAACAATGCTTTTCGGCGAGCTTATTAATTTTCGATTTAAAGCTTTCGTGACTGCAGGGATTCATATTATTGGTTCTTTCGGTAAAGTCACGTAGAAGGGAAATAATCAAATAATACAAATAAAACAATACAAAAATTTCATCTTATATAGAAATCTAATTTTTTGTCTATCTGTCTGTGTTCACGTGCTTGCAAGGGATTTGGCTCTCAAACGGTGGGGTTTATGTCAAAACATTTTTTGCCACGTACCACGCCGTAAGCCCCGTGCTTGGTATAGGCTATTCCTTTTCCACGTCCGCCACCCTTTAATTAGTTAAATTAGCGATTTTGTGAGATTTAGCTAAATTGATAAAAAAAATTTGCGCGACATTCGACCGCACGAACTCACGCACATTCGGTGGGGGGGGGGGGGGGCGGACCCTACTAAGTGATACGCGTTCGGTGGGGCTGAAGGGGGACATTTTGTTTTACACGTTTTACATGCAATAAATATACACATAATGTTGCAGGTATTTCTTCGCAGTGTGATGTTCTCTTCGCCCCCCCCCCCAACACGATGCGTGCAGTTTATACTACAGAGTCCGTAGATAATTAAATGATAGTGCTTAGATAGCATTGTTGCATGGGCGGGGGGATGGTGGGGGGGTAGCGGCACAGCCCCCAGCCTGGCAACGTGCCACATCCGCCGGCTCGGCAATCTAGGCCAGGACAGGGGCTCCGGACGGGAGCTCCGCACGGGACTAGGCCTCACCCCGGCTATGGTAAGTAGCTACATTCACGTACGTACAAAACAGTTTTTGTATTCATCACCTTGGAAATGTTCTATTATTTTTGTTTGTGTGCTCACAACAAATATTTTTGGTTCATAACTTGCCCATTACTTTCATATTTATTATTGTCTGACCTCACGTTCAAATATCTTGATTATTGTGTGAACTCATGTTCAAATACACCTATTTTAGAAAATATCACCTTCCTATTATTATATTATTTATCTTCACTTACACCTTTCATGCCTGCAGGATTACACATTATTTGCCTCTTTCTGTTACGTCACGTAGCTACAAACATTTTTGATAATTTTGCATTTGTCACAAAGCCATACACACCATACAAATTGTACAACAAATATTTAGTTGTTATAACTTGCCCATTACTTTCATCTTAATTATTTTGTAAACTCACGTTCAAATACCTTCTTTATTATTGTGTCAACTCACCTTCAAACAGACCTATTTTAGAAATGATCACCTTCCTATTATTACATTACTTATCTTCACTGACTGCTTTCGTGACTGCAGGATTTCATATTCTTTGCCTCTTTCTCTTACATCACGTAGCTACAAACATAATTATTTTGGCATTTTTGACAATGCTATACACACCATACAAATCGCACTACTAATTATTTTTGTTTCGAGCTTCTCCATTACTTTCATCTTTATTGTGTCAACTCACGTTCACATACACCTATGTTGGGAAATGATCACCTTCCTATTATTACATTACTTATCTTCACTTACAGCTTCCGTCACTGCAGGATTTAATTATCTTTGCCTCTTTCTGTTATGTGCACTACCATACACACAATACCATACACACCATGCTAACCACATTAACGTACACACAATTCCAGAAAGACACTACTATACAATCATGGTATACACACAATACCATACACACCATGCTATACACACCGTGCGATACACACAATACCATACACACCGTACTATACACACAATACCATACACACCATACTATACACACCGTACCATACACAATACCATACACAGACTGTGTATAGTCGGGTGTTTACAGTTTTGTGTGTATGCTGTTGTGTGTATAGCATGGTGTGTATGGTATTGTGTCTAAAGTCTTGTGTGTATAGCATGGTGTGTATGGTATTGTGCGGTTTTCAAGCGGTTTTAGGAAAGGGTGGCCCTGCACAGATGCCATATTTTCTGTCCGTTTGCTACAGCTGAGGTGTAGGGAATTCCAACAAGACCTACATCTCTGCTTTATTGACCTGCTCAAGGCCTATGATACCATTAGTAGGCCTGGCCTCTGGGTTGTTCTGCGTGCTTTCGGAGTCCCTCACCCTCTGCTCACGATCATTAAGGACCTTTATGATGGTGAGCAGGCCCGGGTAAAACTACGTGGCCGGGAGTCGGAGCCATTCCCTTGACACCTTGGGGTGCGACAGGGATGTCCTCTGGCTCTTACATTATTTTACATCTATTTTTAACACGTAGTTCGTGAAGCCTTCAATAGCTGTACTGGAGGAATTTCCATCTGGTACAGATACAATGGAAGGCTGATCGATGCCCGGGTGCGGTCAAGGGATGGCTCCCTATTGCTCAACCATGTTATGTATGCCGATTATCTGGTAATTGCTGCTCACTCAGACGAGGAGTTGGAGGCGCTGCTGCTGAACCTGGAGATTGCCACTAAGAGGTGGGACCTTGCCATCAGCCCCATCAAAACTAAGCACCAGCCTGGGTATTTTGTACCATCGGACGCTCCACCCCCACAACTCCCAATTGCTGATGGGGCAGTTGTGGAGAGAGTGGAGAGTTTCCCATACCTGGGCAGTGTGCTCATGACCGGCTCCGGTTTAACAGCGGAGGTCTCACTCCTAATCAGTCGAGCGGCATTGTCTTTTCACCGGTTGCGTAACGCTGTGTGGGAGCTACCTGGTCTGTCGCTCCGCATGAAGCTTTGTTGTTGTAATATTCTTACGCCATGCCCCTACTGGCCATCTGTGAAAAAGAGCTTTATAGCGCATCGGATTCCTGCAGTGTAAATAAATATTCTGATTCTGATACACAATATCTCCCACATCTAATGTTTTTTTAACATCTGCACTACAGCTCTGAAGAACAAGTCGACATGATTTGCTTCGTTCGAGTCTGCCAAGTTAGGTCTCTGAATCTGGGCAGCGCGAACCTTCTGCTCTAACCCCCAGGCACAGCATTCATCACCGCCACCCACACCACCCACATCACCAACACAACTCACACCACCAACACCATCAACACCATCAACACCACCCACACCCATCTCTCGAGGCCAATTTCCTCCATGTGTTTCAGTGGCATGCTGAAGACGGTGACACTCTGGTTAATTGTTCAGAATGTATTCGTTTAAAAAAAGTTAAAGAGTTTCTACATACTCTACGTGTATACATTCGTACAATGTGAGAGACGAAGATAAAGATCCCTGTATAGCGTACATACACAAACTGTCGGGGCAAGTGCTGTAAGTGGGCATCTATTAAGGCTGGCACGACGCACGAGAGGGTGGTGTGGGGTGGTGTGGCCAGCCTTTGTCTCCCCAGTGCTGGTGTTTACATAGCGCACAATGTGAGAATGCACACACATACATACCCTGATCAAGGACAAAGCTTTTCAAATGACATTTCTCCAACACTTCCCACAGTTCATGGTCCTGGTATGAACCTTTGGGGTCCAAATTATTCCGAACTGTGTCACTGAACAAGAATGGGTCTTGTGGGATTATCGCCAAGTTAGACCTAAAACATAAATAATTACATACACGTTACATTTTCTCATTCTATTTTTAAAAACAAGTACATACACATTTGACCTCTTTTACGTGTTCAGCCATTTTGTCAGTCCCATTTTTATATTTTTGCTATCCATCATTTTGCCTCTGGAATATATCAAGGGCCTTTCCTTCCATTCTGTGTACGATGTCACGACTGCATTTTTCTTCATGCTACCGAGACGTTGCTGACAACTTCTCCCGTCGTCTTTCCCTTGGTCTGCCCTTCAATTATTTTTACGACACGCCCCATCTGTTTCCATCTTCGAACTCCTCATTAATTGTGGTGTCTTTCATCCTCTGACCTTAGGATCTATCTCTGTTCATCTTCCTCTCTGTCCAGCTCTTAACGCTTTCCATTGGTAGCCTCCTGCATGCAACGTGTTTGTTCAGTTGGCAGAGGTCAAGCATGGCTAAAAGACACCCGTGGCCTCCTCAGCATGAGAAACGTAGGAGGAAACCCTTCAGCCACGCTCTTCCTAATGGTCATATTTTAAGGCAACAAGATTACAAAAGCCTTGGCACTTCAGTTTCCAATGCTTCCAGAATAAAATGATGCTGAGGAATTTGGGATTCTGCCTTCCCCCAAAATTGTAAATGATAGCTTTCTGTGATGGTCTGAGAAGTTCAGACCAGAGAGATAGCGCAAATCGAGATAACATTGGGGGACTAAATTTCGAAAAATGGGGAATGAGTCGATCCACGAGGTGGAGCCGAAAGATTCACTTTGGGAGTTTCCCAGTGTTGTGAGCCCTCAGAAATTCCAAAGCTCGTGGAGACTGACGCCACTTCTGGATGAGCGCCCCAGAAATCTAGAAAAACTGACAGGGCCATGTGATCTGCAAATGGCTATTAGTCACGCCGGACACTGCAGCGACTATGACAAATTTCTGCCGCGAGGGCTTTCGTCGGCACGCGTACGGGGGAGCGTGTCCAACGCTGCCGGCTGAAACATGCTTAACTAATAAAGAGCACCAAGTTAGGTTTCCATAACTTTTTACACTTCCCGCAAACAAACAATTTCGAATATTACCTTAATTGTTTGAGAGCGAGTTTTGAGATGTCCTGATTGTCAATGTAGATTGCTCCGTGCTGTACGTCCACAATGCGGAAGAGAACTGAAAACAGAGTGGACTTCCCGGAGCCAGTCCTTCCAACTATCCCCACCTTCTCCCATGAATTTATGCAAAAAGAAATTCCATTTAAGGCAAAGGGCAGCCCTGGCCGGTAAGTGAGGAACACTTTGTCAAATGTCAGTGCACCACCTTGGGGCCAATCAGGAGACACCTGTGAGAACAGAGAAAAGATGTTACCTCCGGTGATAAAAACGATTTATTCGTAAATTTCCATTCAGCACTCTCTAACACGCGCAGAGACACTCTCAGAGTTATACTCTCACATACACAGGCACTCTCACACAGACATGCTCTCTGTTACTTGATCACAGAGATTACTCGTGTAGTGAGTCAACCCGAGTCGCAGACGTTATCTTGGGAGCAACACTATTTATTATACAACAGCACGCAACATAACACGATCTACACTCGGGTTTCGAATGCCCATCTAACCACGCTACGGCAGAACTAGACACGGTTCGCTATCCCGGTCCGGACCACAAGCTGGGTCCCGGAGCGCGTTGCTAGAGGCTTCTTCTCCCCGACGTGGATCTTTGTAACACCAGCACACCAAGAACCTCGAGCTCCTCTCGGGGTCCTCGTTATATGCCCCGGGGCTGGGGCTGGCTCCGCCCTTCGCCCTGCCCACCTTCCAGGTCTCTCGAGCTCTTTCTCGAAGGCTCCTGTGAGCTCTTTTAGACCACGTGACCGCCCCGCGGCCCCCGTCCACTGGTGGCCCCCCTCCAATATCATCCGATCACGTGTCAGCAGGTCAACCAGCGTATCATGCTCCAACGTAACCCCGGCTGGTTGACACTCCCTCTCACTCCCTCACCAGGAGCCCGCACCGCACACTTCTCACGATGCCTCCGCGCTAACCAGCGCTCACCCAGGCCCCGCTAGGGCTGGTACTACACCCCGTAACCCGGGCTGCACATAATGACAACACATTATCCGCCGTGGCTTCGTAAGCCCAGGCACCATACAGTGACAACCACTGTCACTAAACTCGTATAGCCTTTTCGGACCATAGGAGGAAGTGCTGTTAGCGAGTAGCACCAATGATCACAGAGATAAAACAAAGACAAGGATCCCCCTGTATAATTTTAAACTGAATTTCTGGGAAAGTGCTGTAAGCGAACACCTATGAAGGCCGGTATACGAGGGGGTGGGTGGCCAGTACCATGGCCGGCCACCTTTGTCTCCCCAGTGCTGATGTTTACACACTGTACCAGGTACTCATTTAAGGCCGAGTCGACCTAGGGAAAGCCCAGGACTGATTCAAATAATCACCCAGCACCCTGCCACTCCCGTACCATAGGCGGACAGCAAAATGCATTGTTGTCCTGTACTTCCGACATCTAAGCTCCCTGCCTTCACAAATTTTGCACGAACCAGTGTGGTAAAGTATGGTATAATAACCTCCACGACCTCATCGAGCAGTGGTTAAATAAAGCTCTGCATATGTACAACAAGAGTACATTTTCTGCTGACCTGTAGAGTACTGGAAGCTCATAAAAGCTGCACCCCCATAGAGCGGGCCCAGCCCGTGATAAGTTTACGCAGAGTAACCTCACTGAGAGCTTTCCTCCATAAATAATCCGTTAATTGCATTCTGCCCCCGTATAATCCAGTGTCGGGTTCAGCGAAACGTCATGGGTTGACTTCACATGACGTCTGCCACCTGACGCAAGTGGCGTATTACTTTGGGTGGGGGGGGGGGGGTCGCCACCTTTTCCACAGAGCAAAAAACGCGGCAGGTTCCTGGGTCCGGCGTAGGGCTAGCAAATGGTGTGCAGTGCACCGGAATAAAATTCTACGTAGCAGCAGCACGAGCTCTCGATGCCACTCAAACAAACAGACGGCAACTCCCGGACAGGTGGCAAACCCGTGACGGCTGGGAGACGGGCTGCTGGCTGATGCCTGCTCTCTGCCGCAGCAGAACGGGGAGGGGGGTGCTCTCACGTGCGTGGGGTGGCGGTGCGCCTCCTCGCTGGCGATGCCGCGATACTCCTGCACACGCTCCACGCTCACCATCTGCGTCTCCGTCTGTGTGAAGCTCGAGACGAGGCCTGAGAGGCGGCCGTTGATGCCGAGCGCGTAGGCGATGGCGAGGCCCACTAGGCCTGAGGAGTGGCGGCACCACACACACACCTACGGGTGAGCTTGTAAATGTGCTAACGTCACTATTTACATACGCGCCTCCAACTAGCACGCTTGGCTACACACGGTGCGAAGGAAGTTCAATATACGTACGTATTGATAACTGTTCATGTCAATATTTGTATACTATAAAGAAGGAACACTGCTCGATTCATTGCCAATGATAAATTTTTGTTCCCCTTTAGGGCCACAGCGTTAATAACGAATGTGCTCATTTAATATCGCTCGTGACTAGGCATGTGCGATATAAAGCAATGTGCTGCGAAGGAGAGTCAACTTGGGTGGTGCCAACAGGACAATGGGTGGTGGAGAGCCCATCCCAGCTCTCCCGAGTGCCGGGCAAGCTAAGGTGGAGACGTTGCTCAAGGCCCCAACGAGATGGGGGGGGGGGGGAAGCCAACACGGTGGTGCTCCCTGCAGAGGCGTCGCCACACCTGGGTCCACGCCGCGCAGGTGGTGCTCCAGCACCGCCAACGCCGCCAGGCTCACCACAATCACCACGCCCATCATCTGCAGGCGGACGTCCAGCCAATGCATCACGGCCACGGCCGCAAACTGGCAGCGCTGGTTCAGCTCCAGTCGAGCCTCATTCTCCCGGGTGAACCTGCACGACGACGAGGACGCAGCGTGACCATGGCGCGACGGTGGACATCCCACCGCTGTCCGATGCCGCGCTGAACTCGAAAAACATGCGAGAGAATAAACCTCGACCGTCAGCAACGGGTGTGCGGCCAGTACCTGTCGGTGGCCCTGAACGCCTTTATGATGGCGAGTCCGGATAGCGACTCGGCAAAGTGGGAGTAGATAGGGGACAGGGTAACGCTGCCCAGCCGCTTCAGCTCCCTCGAGGTGAACCTGTAGTACTTCTGAACGCAGTAGTAGACCCCGGCGAGCGGCAGCAGCACCAGGGCCATCCAGGGCAGGCCGTAGCACATGACTACGATTGCCCCGACCAGCCCAAAGAGCTGCGCCATGAAGATGTTCATGATGAAGGGGAGGGAGTCGTCGACCGTGAACAGGTCAGAGGAGAAGCGGTTCATGATCCTCCCGGTCGGGGTGGCGTCAAAGAACGACACCGGAGCCTAGAGGAAAAAAGTACGACACCGGATGCGACGGAGAATAACGATAAGCAGCTGGGCAACATCACCCATTCAACCATTTCAAATACATAGCTTACAAAAAATGTCGATACCAAGCGAGTCCGTTATGACTGCCGGACAGAATGCAGCTTAATCACAAATCCTGCTGAAAAGTAGAATATAATTATAGACACTAATGCTCATATCCAAATATAACATTATAACATGCAGTTTATATTAAATAATGGCGTCATTCCAGTTATCCGAAGTACAAGCAATATTTTCTATCCACAGTGCGACCCAGCACCTACCCCATCACAACGGTCCCGAAAGCAACCCACAGAGTTCCACAGCTGAGAAGCAGTGGCCGCACAAACAAACTCATCACCTACTCAGAGTGCACAGTCACACACAAACTCTAACAGTGATGCCCAAACTGTAACACCAGTGACACCAAACCTCTAACACCAGTGAGACCCACACGGTCAAACACTTTAAGAAAAGCACAACGGTATGTCGCGTATCAGTACGCCGCTACACAGGGACATGCGGCGGTACCTGCAGGACCTTGTGCAGCAGGGTAACGTGAATGTTTTTGGCAGCGCAGACCCCACCGTAGGCAAACAAGAAGGCCCTGAGCAGTGTGAACACCGTGTTCCCTGCCGCTAGCGCTCCGTACACGGACAGATAAAACTGCACCGGGTCACTCCCATTGGCGCTGCTCCTGTATGGTGGGGAGAGGAGGAGCAGTCACAGCAAGACCGTAATTATAATATATATTGGGGGGGACACATCCCCCCCAATATTCAAATATGCTCAAAATGTCCCCCCCAATATACAGTGAGGGAAAAAAGTATTTGATCCCCTGCTGATTTTGTATGTTTGCCCACTGACAAAGAAATGATCAGTCTATAATTTTAATGGTAGGTTTATTTGAACAGTGAGAGACAGAATAACAACAAGAAAATCCAGAAAAACGCATGTCAAAAATTTTATAAATTGATTTGCATTTTAATTAGGGAAATAAGTATTTGACCCCCTCTCAATCAGAAAGATTTCTGGCTCCCAGGTGTCTTTTATACAGGTAACGAGCTGAGATTAGGAGCGCACTCTTAAAGGGAGTACTCCTAATCTCAGCTTGTTACCTGTATAAAAGACACCTGTCCACAGAAGCAATCAATCAATCAGATTCCAAACTCTCCACCATGGCCAAGACCAAAGAGCTCTCCAAGGATGTCAGGGACAAGATTGTAGACCTACACAAGGCTGGAATGGGCTACAAGACCATTGCCAAGCAGCTTGGTGAGAAGGTGATAACAGTTGGTGTGATTATTCGCAAATGGAAGAAACACAAAAGCACTGTCAATCTCCCTCGGCCTGGGGCTCCATGCAAGATCTCACCTCGTGGAGTTGCAATGATCATGAGAACGGTGAGGAATCAGCCCAGAACTACACGGGAGGATCTTGTCAAAGATCTCAAGGCAGCTGGGACCATAGTCACCAAGAAAACAATTGGTAACACACTACGCCGTGAAGGACTGAAATCCTGCAGCGCCCGCAAGGTCCCCCTGCTCAAAAAAGCACATATACATGCCCGTCTGAAGTTTGCCAATGAACATCTGAATGATTCAGAGGACAACTGGGTGAAAGTGTTGTGGTCAGATGAGACCAAAATGGAGCTCTTTGGCATCAACTCAACTCGCCGTGTTTGGAGGAGGAGGAATGCTGCCTATGACCCCAAGAACACCATCCCCACCGTCAAACATGGAGGTGGAAAGATTATGCTTTGGGGGTGTTTTTCTGCTAAGGGGACAGGACAACTTCACCGCATCAAAGGGACGATGGACGGGGCCATGTACCATCAAATCTTGGGTGAGAACCTCCTTCCCTCAGCCAGGGCATTGAAAATGGGTCGTGGATGACTATTCCAGCATGACAATGACCCAAAATACACGGCCAAGGCAACAAAGGAATGGCTCAAGAAGAAGCACATTAAGGTCCTGGAGTGGCCTAGCCAGTCTCCAGACCTTAATCCCATAGAAAATATGTGGAGGGAGCTGAAGGTTCGAGTTGCCAAACGTCAGCCTCGAAACCTTAATGACTTGGAGAAGATCTGCAAAGAGGAGTGGGACAAAATCCCTCCTGAGATGTGTGCAAACCTGGTGGCCAACTACAAGAAACGTCTGACTTCTGTGATTGCCAACAAGGGTTCTGCCACCAAGTACTAAGTCATGTTTTGCAGAGGGGTCAAATACTTATTTCCCTTATTAAAATGCCAATCAATTTATAACATTTTTGACATGCGTTTTTCTGGATATTTTTGTTGTTATTCTGTCTCTCACTGTTCAAATAAACCTACCATTAAAATTATAGACTGATAATTTCATTGTCAGTGGGCAAACGTACAAGATCAGCAAGGGATCAAATACCTTTTTCCTTCACTGTATTGATATAAAAAATATTTTAAAAAAATAATTGCTATGCTACGACAGGCAACCATGCACCGCCATCCAAAATAATCATTAGCAAATGTAATCATAATCATAAATTAACTTAAATTGCCATTATTATTACTACTACCGGTTCTCGTATTATGGTGTACTGCAGTTCTGTGTGTGGTTTGTCCAAGTGGTGTTGCCGTACCCCAGCAGGAGCCGTTGCTCGACTGCTGTGGGTAGGTACAATCAATGTCTAACACTGTACTGTCTCTCCATTTCATTACTTTAATATGTATTAAAAAGTGGAAAACTAGGATGTAATATGAGTGTTACATAGGCTATATCACTGTCGAGTGGAAACAAACGTTTTTTCTGAAAACGGGCCGATTTGCGATTGCTAATAAATCGCTAACGTTAGCTATCATAGCTAAGTAAGTTACTTGGAAAGATAATTAGCCACATTCACCCAGCGACCAACAATGGCGCTCACGGGCGTATTCAACTAACGTGAATGTTTTGCTTTAAAGCTTCCCTGACTGCAGGAATTCATATTCTTGGTTCTTTCAGTAAAGTCACGTAGAAGGGAAACAATAAAATAATAAAAATATATATAAAATGCTTATTATTTTTATTATTTTATGGTTTCCCTTCTAAGTGACTTTACCGAAAGAACCAAGAATATAACGTGAATGTCTTTATTGCGTTATATTTATCAGAAAGCCCACGTGAAGTCTGAGGAGTGTCAATCGTTTATGTTGCGCTGCATGTGTAATATTTGTCGACAGTAGTAGCTTTCATTTACTGCATATTCGTATAGTATAGTACTTGCTTATGATAAATAACATTATTAGTGTTTCTTTGATTAAAGTGCAAGCAGTTTTATTACAGTCAGCTTTCATTCACAGTGAGTGTCATCATGAGCAAGAGTGGCAGTGATATTCGTCAGTTTTTTGGGCAGCCTCAGTAAAGAAAAGTAAGTTGAGAGCAGTGAGAAAATGAGTACCAGTCAGATGATAGGAGCATACAGTCGTACAAGAGATGAGTCAATGTTTCTCGATATAATAAAAATTGCCATCCAGATCTATTCCTGAACATCATGGCAAGAAACACAAATTGTTTACTGATAATATTTATTTCATGTTCGCTCTGGTGCATTGAGAGTAAAGAGAGAGAGTGAGAGAGAGCATGAGCATGCCGACAGGGCAGGGAGAGCAGCTGAGTGAGAAAAGGAGCAAATATCGATGGTTAAGATTGAATAATGACATCACAACAGTCTAATCATAATGTTCATTTAAGCTGAGATATTCCTATAAGTATAGCTTCTGATGTGTATTTCAGGTAATACAATTAAGCAAGGAGAGTGAGTTTGAGACAATGACAGAGAGAGCAGACAGGCAAGCGAAGATGAAGGTGCAGGAGAGGAAGGGAAGCTTGGACCTCGTCCAAATCAGTCAAATGTTAATATCATACCTAGTCAAACCCTATCAAATAGGACACTCTACTTTCAGGAGAAATGGTTTAAAGATTATACGTGGCTCCATTACAGCCCCTCCTTAAAGGGGATCCTCTGTTTCTATTTTGCTAAATACTTTGCTACACAAAAGTCTAAGCTTGCATCAAAAGCAGATTCAGCTTTTGTCAAGACTGGCCTTCAAAATTGGAAGAAGGCACTGGAGAAGTTTAGTGCGCCTAAAGACAGCCAGTGTCACAAATTAGCTGTGATGACTCGGATTCGGGAGCCAAAACCTGCTAATGTGCAACTTTCACGTGAGCTTGAAAGACAGCAGCAACAAGCGAAGAGAAATCTTCTGAATATTGTTGGGGGTGTGAAATACTTGGCACGGCAAGTTCTGGCTTTTCGAGGCGTTAAGGAAAGTGGGAATTTCAGTCAGCTTCTAAAGTACAAGGCAGAGGGCGATGCAGAGCAGACCACCTGGCTGAACGGTCACTTTGATTTCACTAGTCCCCAAATGCAAAACGAAATTTTGAAGCTGGTGGGCAATACAATTGTCAAAGAAATTGTCTCGGAAATAACATCAATGCCAGTGGTCCACTTCGCACTTATCATTTATGGCACCCAGGATATATCAGGAGTTGAGCAGGTGTCAATGTTTGCGCTTTGTAGATTCAGATCTACAAAGGAATAATTCCTGGGACTCTACGAAGTGTCATCAACGACAGGGCAAAATATAGACAAGATGGCACGTGATGTGATGATGCGTGGAGGTCTTCCTCTGTCCCAACTTCGAGAACAAACCTATGACGGTGCCGCAAATATCGCTGGACGATTGCAGGGGGTGCAAGCCATTCTAAAGATAGAACAACCGCTGGCTATGTATTGTCATTGTGGTCCACACTGCATGAACTTAGTTACGCAGGCTGCCTGTGTAGCCTCTCCACTAGTAAGATAATCAATGGGTCTGGTGTATGAATTGGAGGGGTTCTTTACTCAATCTGGCAAGTTCAAGGTGATTTTCCAGGAAATCGCAAAATCAGAGCATGGTTTCACCTCGTTGAAACCTCTCTGTCCCACCAGGTGGACTGTTCGCACCCCCGCCATCCACTCAGTTCTCAGCCAGTATGAGTCAGTGCTGACAGCCCTTGAAGAAATGGCATCATGCAGCTCATCTGACACTTCAACTGAGGCCAATGGTCTTCATGGAACATTTCTAAAAGGGAACACTGTGCTCGGCCTTGTAATGGCTGAAGACCTGATGGGGGATTTGGAGTGCCTGAACACCTCCCTGCAGCATAGGAAAGACTGTTTTAGGCATGTTGGAGGCTGTGGACCATCTCAAAACGAGCATGCAGGACAAGCGAACGGAGGAGCACTTTGATGTCTTGTTCGCAAAAACAACTGCTATGGCAACAAAGTTGGACCTACAACCTATTCAGATGCCTCATATCCGCAAACCTACAAAGCGTTACACCGGTCAAGCTGCAGCCCATATCCATCCGGATGCCCAGTCTTTGTACAAAGTCCAATTCTACAATGCCTTGGACACAGTGAATACTCAATTCATGGAGAGGTTTGATCAAGCTGGATTCCACAAGCTGCAGCAGCTTGAGAATGTGCTGCTGCGCGGAGACATGGACAAGGTGGTAGACGAGTCTCCTGAGTTGAATTCAAGACTATTGCAGGTGCAGTAATACACTCGCTCGCCGGTGTGCCGCGGAGCCATCTCACGCACCGCCTCGCCCTCGCAATGTGGTGGAGTGAGACGGGACCGAAAATGGCACACTACGGGGGGGGGGGCACACCCCCGCAACAAGGGAAGGGGAGGGG